GATCTCAGTGGTGGTGGTGCTCACCTTTAATCCCAGCACTTGGGAGGCAGAGGCAGACAGATCTCTGTGAGTTTGAGACCAGCCTGGTCTCCAAAGTGAGTTCCAGGACAGCTAGGACTGTTTCACAGAGAAAGCCTGTTAGCCAATTCCTTGTCCTTATTCAGATCTTGTTTATATACTGTGGTCTCAGTTGTTGAAAACTTGTAAGCTTGTTCTTTACCAGCTGGATAGCACCCTCCCCCAACTCACTATGTAGATCAGATAAGCCTTTTAACTCACAACCTTTGCTCCTGGGTACAGAGATGGAAAGGATATGCCCCCACACCCAGTACATTTACCACTTCTAACATAATCTGTTTGGTGTCTTTCCCTCTCGGTTAATATTTAGAGTCCACATGAGAGGTACTGAAGATGTAGTTCAGTTTGTAGAGTGCTGGCCTGGGATCCAATCACCAGAACCCATTAACTGGGCATGGTAACATGCCTATAATTCCAGGATTTTAGAGGCCATCCTGAGTTAAATGACACCTGTCAGAAAGAAAGAAGAAAAGAAAGAAAAGATCTGCTTAAGAAAGTTTTTTATCAGGGCTGGAGAGATGGCTCAGAGGTTAAGAGCATTGCCTGCTCTTCCAAAGGTCCTGAGTTCAATTCCCAGCAACCACATGGTGGCTCACAACCATCTCTAATGGGGTCTGGTGCCCTCTTTTGGCCTGCAGCATACACGCAGACAGAATATTGTATATATAATAAGTAAATAAATATTTTTTTAAAAAGAAAAGAAAGTTTTTATCGGTTTTGTTGCCTAGAGCAAAGTTGGCACTGCAGCTATTTTAGAGATGGGTAGAACGAATGCATATCCTATATTCAGGCTGAAATATTACTGTCCCAAAATGGCCACTCTGAAAATTAACTGCTTACAGAATCTAAAGAAGACAGAGAGGGGTTAGTTTTAAAAAAATATTGATCACAGCTTTAAACCAAAGACAGACCCAGCTGCCAAAGTCTCTGTCCTCAGGACAGTGCAGAGCTGTGAAATGTACCCTCTGTTTACCTTTCCAAGTCCAGTGGAGCGTCCACATCGTCATCCTAGAACTGGTGCCTGTCGAAGCACACACCGTGCTTAGTTTAGGTTCTCTCTGCGTCTGTCTCACTTGGCTAAAGCTCTCCATGGCACAGCTTTCCCAACATCTCTCCCACTGGTGTGAAGTCCTTCCGCAGGGTGCAAGCGGGGCACCAGGTAGTAGTAGGCCAATAGTTTGCCTGGCTCAGGAAGGTCTCCTTTTCCCATTTTCAGAGGTTTTTTTTGTGATGTTCAACATTTAATTGATACTTGTATCCTAAGCAGCACATCTAATGCAAGATTTTGCCAGTTTGCTCTGCTTTTATGGTGCTAGGGATTAAACCCAGGACCTCACAAATGTGAGACAAGCACTTTATTTTATTTTGTGTATGGGTGTTTTCTCTATTATATGTCTGTGCACTGCACATGTGCAGTGGGCCAGAAAAGGATGGGCATCAGATACCCTGACACCGGAGTTACATTTGTGAGCTGCCATGTGGGTAGGTGCTAGGATGCAAACGTGGGTCCTCTAGAAGAGCAGTTAGTGCTGTTAACAGCTGAGCCATTTCCCCAGCCCTGAGACAAGCACTAAGCCATAACCCAGCCTAGGTTAGGTCTTCATGTATATGCCAGTCTGTATGTATGTTGGCATGTGTTCAGGTACAGGAGCTTTTGGAATCCCAGGAATGATGTTGATGTTGTTTTCCACTTTATAAATTAAATCAGAGTCTCTTACTTGAACTTCGAGCTCACCAGTTTAGCTATTCTGTCTAGGCAGCTTGCCTCCTACATGCTGAAATTTCAGGGGCACTGTGCCCACCCAGCATTTTTTTGAGTTCTGGTGATTCAAACTCCAGCCTTACAAGTCAGACTATCCACTGAGCCATCTCTCCAGCCATGTAAGTTAGGTCTTTTAAATGTTGCATTTTATGACTGTTCTGTTAGAAATTTAGGAACTGAGATGAATTGTTGTTCTTCTCTAATAATATTGATGGGTAGTGCCTATCCCTTGAGCTCCTTGCTGTTCCCTTTAGATTTGAAAACTCTTTCTCTGTTGTGTCATCCAGCCCAAACGTAACCAGTTCTTCCACACACCTCATGTTTGAGTTGGGTACTCATCATATACTTTGAATTGCCCATGCCAGCCCTGTGATGTTTGGTATACATCCTTCACATAACAAAGGTTTAGGCAGACAGCCCTTTTGTATCAGTTCTTGAAGTTTCAACAAGGTTTAGGTTTTATATTTGAGACTAGCCTGTATTACTAAGTCAAGGTAGATCTTTGTGGATTCTTTTTAGTTTTCAAGTACAGTGAAAACATTCAGGACCTTAAAATTTTGTTGTTGTTGCTGGGGACTTGTGTATGCTAGATGTATGCTGTGCTACTGACCCTAGAAATTGGATGTCTTTGGTGGCAGATTGGCTCTTGCAGTCTGGAAGTTGGGGTGTGTGGGTATCTACATGAGCTTTCTTCACTTTTCTCTGTAGGCATCTCTTCTCAAATGGAGGTCACCTGTGTGCCCACCCCTACAAGCACAGTATCCTCTATAGGTAACACAAATGGAGAAGAAGTGGGACCATCTGTCTACCTGGAAAGGCTAAAAATTCTTCGACAACGGTGTGGCCTTGACAACACAAAGGTACTGTTCTTTCTTACTGTGTGGGAATGGAAAGCGGTGTCAGGCGGGTCAGGGACAGTAGCTTAACCTTGGTATACACTCAGACAGAGTTGCATCTTGACTGCTTCCCCTGAACTTAGACTGTGTCTCTCTGTCGTCTATCAATAGCAAGATGACCGACCTCCGCTGACCTCTTTGCTCTCCAAACCAGCAATTCCTCCAGTTGCCTCATCTACAGACATGCTCCACAGCAAGCTCTCACAGCTGCGGGAGTCCCGCGAGCAGCACCAGCACTCAGACCTGGATTCCAGCCAGACCCACTCTTCAGGATCCATCACCTCCTCCTCCACAACTAACATTGATGACTTGAAAAAGAGACTGGAGAGAATAAAGAGTAGTCGCAAATGAAGCTGCCCTCCCTCGGCACTCTGCAGCTTTAGTTTACTAATCTAGAAGCCCTGTAGTGTGAAGTGGCCACTGCAGGCCCCGTGTACACAAACTGTTGTATGCATCAGACAGCAGACGGGGAAGGAGTGGCTGTGGGCGGATCTGCACAAGCTCTGCTTCTCCCCATCAGTGCTGCCTTTGGAAGACTGGCTGTGGGTTAGGTTAGTGTACAGACTTCCAAACAGCTGCACCCTCTGCTCAGACTAGGTTCCATATCTTTTTTTGTTTTGTTTTAATGGCTCATTTGTAAAATTGTCCTAATTTTTCCTAGCTTTCAGCCATTAGAAACTCTTAATAGTTCCTTCTGAGTTGTGAGCTCTTCTCCTGTAGCCCTGAAGGGACACTGTATTCTGTATGAATGCATGGCATGAGACAACTAATTTAAAAGTCTTTTGTAAATAAAGTTTGCATTAACTATACCTATTTCCCAAGATGCCCCGTGTCTGGGAGTGCTGGGGCGCTTTTTCTGTCGCCTGTTTAAGGAAGCTGGGCATTGAGCCAGGTAGAAGAGTGCTTGTCATGACCTGCTGAGGTACACGTTTTCTTAACTCATGGGTTGGGGCTGTAGCTCCTTGGGAAGAGAATACTTGCTGGCCTGCTGTCCACATGCAGACCCAAGGAACAGAGAAAGCTTGTCTGTGCCTCCTTGTTTTGAAGTCTTGATTCGTGACCCTGCCTCTGGTCGTCTCCAGTTGATGGAGAAACAGCGTCCTACTGCTCTGCTGCGCAGACTCGAGGGAACTGGGTTCACTGGTGGGTCTGGAGAGCTTGCTGCTTTCCTGCCGTCAGTCCCAACTAATTAATTGCTTTATACTTGGTTGAGGACAGAATGTGAACTGCAGATTCCCTTCCTCAGTAGTTAGAAAACTGCTACAGGACTAAGAGGTTCTGGGTTCTAGGGAGACTCCAGCCAGGCTCCAGGACAGCTTCTACTCAGCTGGCATCCCACGCAATGAAAGATGGAAGGAAAATGAATCTGGATTTTTTTTCATCAGGTGAACTCTGTATTGGTTCCAGTCACCATTTTCTGGTGAGCCCAAGGCTGCCTGAAATTAAACTTGCTTTTTAGGGGGAGCATGGAGTGGTAAGTGTTCACAGCAGGGAAGGAGGATATTGTCGTTTGGAAAGTGGGGTCTAGAATGGGCACCATTCAACTGAAAACTCTTAAGTGTTCTAAGTTTATATATCCCCACAGTGGTGTGAAGGATGTCAGATAGGACAACTAAAGTCTTGGTTGTCATCTGCAGGCAACTAAAGCACAAGCGCCTGTGAGAAAATTGGGGGAGTTTTTTTGAGACAGGGTTTCTTTGTGTAGCTGTGGATGTCCTGGATCATTTGGAATGGGTAAGTCCCCCCTAAATCTGAGCCATACCTTCTGATCCAGCCTGCATAAAAGAACCTGAAAGAAGGAAACTTGCTTTTTGCCTGCTTGCCCCCACTTTTCTCTGGCACCTTTGTTGATTGGTCCTGCTTCTGAGGTATTTCTTCACTGGCCTCAGAATCTCCTACAGATTGCAGTGTAGAATGAAGAGCAGCTGAGACATCCAGCCCAGGGGTCTAAAGAAATAGTGGGGTTTGACCTTTCTGTCCAAGGATACCTTGTTGGCCTGTGCACCACTGTAGTAAATCATGTGCATGTGTATGTAGCATTTGCAGCTCCGTCTGTCTCATAGCCCAGAGAGTTACCCATCAACAGCACCGGGCACACTGAGACTTAACAGTCACTTTTATTGAGAACAGAAACAAACCACAAGAATATTTTGACTGTTTTTTTTGTGATTTTTGCATGAGGATCCCATATTGTGGGTACCCCCCCAAAACACGTCTACCCAAATCGATCAATGACTTTCTGTATCCACTTTTTCAGGCGGAACACGTGTGTGTAGAAGCCATATTTCCCATTCCGGTCACAGCCTTCACCCCATGAGACAATGCCCATTTGATACCAGCGGTTGTTATAGGGGCTCTGAGGAAGAAAGGGGGGCGGGGATTCCAGTAGTCAGGTCCAGGCTCTTCCTGAAAACAAGTTCCTGGCCCCCAACCTTCCCTACCACCGGCAGCCCCAGGCCTATAGAGCTTACTTTCATGACAAAAGGTCCCCCACTGTCACCTTCACAAGCATCTCCTCTCTTGGTGTCATTCACCTTGAAACCTTGAGGAAGAACAGCAGGGTTCAGGAGTCACTTCCCTTAAGGAACTACAGCCCAAAGTGATTATCCTGCTCTCATTTCCTCAGCCCAGGTTTTTAATCCTTCAGCAAACTTGTTGGCTCTAATCATCAAGGTTTACCAAACTCACCATTTCCACTCTGGCCAAGTCATAGACCCCCCTCCTGTACCCCCAAACCATACCTTCAAATTTAAGTAGACTACAGATACACCCAAACCTCAATTTAGTGAGCTGAATTTCATATATAGTCTAAACCACAAGCAAGATGAGGATGGAAACAAATCCTTCAGTGGACATAAATTAGTAATCTCAGAACTATGCACAAGCACTGGAAAGTTACCAGAGGAAGACACCTTAGGAAAACAGAAGACCTTAACTAGGAAGACACCCTCAATCAACTACAAAACTATCTGAATGGAATATCCTCAAGAGCCGGGCAGCAGTAGTACACTCTTTAATCCTAAAAGGAGGCAGAAGCAGGCAGATTTCTGAGTTTGTGGCCAGTCTCATCTACAGATCGAGTTCCAGGACAGCCTGGAGGACACACAGTACACAGGACAGCCTGGAGGACACAGGACGGCCTGGAGGACACAGGACACAGGACAGCCTAGAGAAAACACAGGACACAGGGAGAACACAGGACAGCCTGGAGGACACAGGACAGCCTGGAGGACACACAGGACCCTGGAGGACACAGGACAGCCTGGAGGACACAGGACAGCATAGAGGACACAGGACAACCTGGAGGACACAGGGAAGACACAGAGAAACCCTGTCTCAAAAAAAAAAAAAAAAAGAATTCTCAGAAAAAAAAACCACTTTGAACTCATAAATGTAAAAATTAAAAGTGAAAAAAAATCAGATGTCATGGTGTATGCTTATAGAGTAAAGAATTGAAAGATTAAAAGGCAAGGGGAGCCATTTACATTTAAAATTAGCCTCAGCTGCATGGTGATTTTGAGGCTGGCCTGCGGTGCATGAGACTATCTCAAAAGACAAAAAAGAAATGAAAAAAAATGGAGAAAGGTGAAAAGTATGAGGTTAAAATGGTTGAGTATGGTTGTGCCCACCTGCAGTCAGGAGGCTGAGGTGGAAGTATCAGAAATTCATGATGAGCCTGCACTATTCAGTGTGGGAGAGTAGTTGTGCAGCGTGCATGAAGCCATGAAACTGGGCATTATGGCACATACCTGTAATCCTAGCACTGGGTGGGCAGGATTGGGGAGCACAGGAACAACAGAAGTTCAAGGTCGCTAACTACATGGTTAATTCTAAATGTTTTACATAGTGAATTCTACAAGGTCACTAACTACATAGTGAATTCTAAATGTTCTACATAGTGAATTCTACAAGGTCACTAACTACATAGTGAATTCTA